GAGATATTCTTTATAAAACAGATTCGGTTAGATCAAAAGTTGCAAAACCAATTAACACTAAATAGGAGATGCCATCTAGAATTACTTTTCCCAAAAATTGTACGAAAAAATCTACAATTTTCGACATTCGGCAAAAACACACAGTTTCGAGTTCTCTATTTTAACGATCTATTTATTGAAAGCGATCAGTTTTTTCAGACTAAATTGTTTCACAATAAAAATGCATCTTTTCCTTCCGCTTATTAAATTTTTAAGAAAAAAAAAAAAATTAAAACGCAGAGTCTAGAATCATTCATGTTTTCTTCAAAAAAAGAAATTACATCTTCCGTCTATAAATTCTTAAAATAAACATCCGAGCATCAATAATTCCTAAATTTCTTCATTTTATTGCTTTGCTATTTTATTGTAAGACAATTAAATTAATTTAAAGAAAGTCTCTCTCTTTTAAAATTAATATATAAAAATATTCCTGCAAATATTTAGACAAAAACAACCCAATTTCCTACTCAAAGCCGTAAAAGATGGTAGAAAAAAATCTCACGTTCGTTGCTCGCGTGAAATTTTCAGTAGCACCACCAAATTTCAAGCAATCTCTCTTCGCCGGGTGACATCGATTAATTACGATGTCGTAATCTCGCGGGAGAGAAACGGGTTCTTCTCGTTCCATTCCATTCACACCATACGATAATGGCAAACGGTGATCGCGCGGGGAGAATCGAGCGAGTAGTCAACTCGTCGACTACTAACAGCCGGGTAGTATAAACTTTGACACCGCGGGGCATTACCGCGATAATTAAACGAACTACTCGAGAGAAGAGAAGGAGGAGAGTAGAAGGAGGAATGAAAGGAGAAGGAGGAGGATGAGGATGAGGAAGAGAAAGAGAAGGAGGGGGGTGGGGGGAGAGGAGGGGAGGTGGAGGAAACTACGGAAACTAGGAGAATGCGCGGGTGTTCGCTCGCGCGTTGAAATATACATCTCGCTCCGCTCCGCGCCCTCCGCGCCCTCCACACTCTCCGCGCTTTCCCGCCCGGGGAACTTCCGTTAAAAGGCTCCGGTAACGCGCGGGTTACGGCTTCAATATGCAGTAAAACTAGGATAGCCGCGTCGCCGCATACCCCCGCGCGTTCATCTAAAGCGTTTCCCTCGCTCGTTTCCCCGCCGTAACCCTCCCGCCGTGTAACATATATCCCGGGCACACTCGCGATACAAAAGGCAGATCCCAGAGAGGCACCCTCGGGGCACACCCGGGCTCGGGGAAAAGCCGCGTGAATGGGGAAATAATCGCGTTGACGCGCGCACGCGGAGAACCTGTGAAAGAACGTCGCGAATATAAAGGGCACGAGATCGGGTGCGTCGGGTGCTCGTATCTCTGATGAAGAAATAAAGAATAAGAGAAAAAAAAACAGAAAAAAAATAAAAGAATTGTTTTTTTTTTTGTTAGACCCGTCCGTCCCGTCTTCTCCCGAAACGAGTCTGTAAAACAAATCTCTACACTCCCTACAATCAACTCCATAATTCGAACAGATAGTAATCGTTCTCTCTTTCATTACCGGAGTGATCCTTAATCGCGCGATGGGAGCAAAGGAAGAAACGTTTTGATTTTCCTCCTTTGAAGTAGAGCACGCATCGATTTCGGGGAAAGGGGGTGGGTTTTCCCATCTCTAATCTCGCTTCAACGATCGGCCTTGCGATACGTTGACTTCGCCTATCGGGCCTGCGATACTACGAGAGAAAATGGGAATCTCACCGGCAGGAAACGTCGAATTCCCGGTAATGATAATGAGTAAACGCGCACCGCGAGGACGATTCGAGGAAGTGACGTGACTTCGAGAATCAAACCGTTTCATCGTGCACGTTGCGCTCTCCTCCCGAGGCGACGACGAGCGCGCCGGAAAGAGCGCGGCTTCGGCTTCTCGGAAGCAATTTCGCCGCTGGAAAAGCGTAATTGTTGGGTTGGGTAAACCGTTGTCGGAAACCCGGCAGGCAGGTGAACATTGTTCGATGAGCAAAGTCCGTACATCGCGCATCCTATGAGTTTAAGCTAACCAAACGAGAACTTGTGTGCGGAAGATGCGAAATATTCTTCGCAAAATAAAGATGCAAAGTATTGAGTATCAGATTTTATCATGCAAGTACAAATTTAATTCAAACTTGAGAGAAAAAAAGAAAGAGAGAAAGAGAGCTAGATAGATAGATAAAACGTTTCTGGGATCATCCTTCTAAGATATACCAAAGAAAAGCAAATAGCAAAAAGCAGTAAAAAAGTAGAAAAGTACAACTAAGTAAAGAGACAAGAAAAATAGAGACAAGAAGAGAAAAGAAAAGAAAAAGAAGAGGGAGATCTATTGGTAATTGCCAATTTTTAATTTGCTCCCTCTTGATCTAAATTTTTATAAATAAAGGAAACCAATCGGAAAAATGGAAAAATCATAAAGAACAGCATTTGTTTAATTGTTAACTATGAAGTCATCGCTCGTTATGAATGATGTTGTAGAAGTTTATAATTAATCATGATGTAATACGTCTCATTATACATTGATGTAGCACCGGATATGTATGTGCATGTATAATTTAAATATTACGATAAAATCGTGCAGAGTTCTGCTATATATTTGTATGAAATATCTGATTGCTTAAGTATAATAAAAGTATCGTAACATGCCAACAGATGGCGAAATAATGCTAAAAGCTGTTGGATGTATCAGAGTTATTTATATCGCTCTTTAATCACTTCCTATCTCCGATGCGTATTTCACAGATAAATGAAGAAAAAGAAACTAAATTAAAATATAGTTTCGGACGAATCTATTTGATGAATCTTTCACTTCACATATTTAAAATGCATTATAAATATACACTAAGAAAAATATCGAAATATTCGGAAGCAAATGCTAGCTCGTGACGTTTCCTTCGATATTTACTGATTATAAAAAAAATGATGATAAACTATACATTTCTGTGAACTTTATTTAATTCTTCTTAATTGTAAAATGATGCTATATATAAATAAAACTTTATTTTATAAATGTATTTAAAAATAAATAATTTTCTTTTCCACAAATAAATTTTCAAGTATTTTTTCCTCAGTTATTATGTTAGGATTATTCATCTAAACACTTATTATAAACACTTATTATAAAAAAAAAAGATCGAGTTATGGAGATTTTACTAAGAATAACGTTTATGTTTATATCATCAGGATAAAAAAATCTGAAAGAAAAATAAAAACTTAAATTGAAATTTATCGATTGGCAAACATATGGTCATCTTTCAACATGGCACGCGAGAAATCGAGCGGAAAAACATCGTGGATGATAAAGAGAGATGATCGACGCGACGATTGAGTTATTCGCGTAATCTCGCGCATATCAGATAACTGATAAGAGCGTTAAATAATAATAGATATTTCATCCAAAGCGCATGCAATCGATACGGGATACACCCGATAATCAATAAGTGATAAACGACAGCGCCGTTTTAAGGACCGACAACATGCCGGGCCCGTGACTCAGAAATCACGTGACAATTGCGCACCTGATTACACCCACCGATCTCGGTGCCGATATTTCAGAAGACAAGGAAGACGGATAAAACGACGCGATAAGAGAAAGTCCTGTTGATTATTCTCCTCGCGCGCGAACAAACAGTGTTTTGCAGAATGCAATAATCTGTTTTGTTCACCTGAACCTTAAGTGGATTTTCATTTTGTCTTTGCGCTTTAATTAAAAATTCGATTATATATATATTTCTTGAATCAATCTTTGATTTCAAAGATTCAAGAGATGTCTCTTTGAGTGAAATTTTTTACAAAATTTGAATTTTTCCAAAGTTCCACAATTCAAAAAAACTACGGAACAGCTTACTCACACTACAATTGTCGAATACGTCACGTTTTTCTTCCTTTGAATTTTTTTCGATCGATTTAAAGACTTCTTTTCCATGCTTTTATGTTCGAATGAAGAAGAGTACAAAGACGCGGATCTTTTTGTGATCTTTTAAGATGTTATGTTTCGCGCTTCAGTGTTGAGTCAAATAAAAAATTAGATAG